ATGTATGTATGCATGTATGTACGTACGTATGTATGCATGTATGTATGTGGGTATGTATGTACATATGTATGTATGTATGCATGTATGTATGTATGTGTATGTATGTATGTGTATGTACGTGTATGTATGTGTATGTATGTATATGCACATACATACATACATGCATGCATGCATGCATAAATGCATACACACGGACACACACACACACATCACAAAAGGGGTCATAAAGGTTTTGTATGGCCAGAGACCCAAACCCAGAAACTTTAAGTCTTCGCGGCTTAAGGAACTCTTAACCTCGTGCCTAGGCCCTGTCGGTGTGACAAAGCCAATGAGGTTGTTCCTCAATCTGAACGATGAGACTGCAGAAACCGGTGACCCTTAACCGTAAACCCTAAATTCAGGGCTTTCAGGGTTAAGGGTTCTAGGCGTTTCGCAAGCAGATACTGATCTGAAACTGACGGTTCTCCGGCAAGCCCCCCCAAAGGATCTCCCAGATATTTCCCAAATATCGAATGCTTCCGCTCGTGTGCTCTCGTGAAGAGAGTAGTAGAAACTGATACTAACGTAGCAATAACAATAACAACGACAATCGCAGTAAGAATAGTATAGTAGTAACAATCAAGACTGTAATAGTGATGGAACAAGTCTTGATAGAACACAAAGACGAGCGTCCGCGGGTGCTGCGTGCTGTCCTGTCGGCGAGCTAGGTGGGTGGGGGTGATGTAAGGGGCCTTAAGAAGTAGAATAAGGCCCCTTCGCCGGGTTCTATAACAAGGGTTGCTACGAGGGTTTAGCATGGGGGCCTTAAAAATTAACCTATGGTATTGACCAGTACGATTCCTACCCCTGGATTGAGGGTGATTGAGCTGCGGCTCTAAGGCCTTTCGGGGAGTGTGCTGCCCTGAACATCGCCCTCAAACTCTGGCTTTCGGCTAACTCCCCGAATCCGAAAGTGCGAGCCCTAAGAAACTTATTCAAACACCCTATTTATGCCAACTACCATAAAACCCCACAGCCTTAACTAAACACTGAACCCACCCACATCTTGGAATCCCAATCCCGAACCCCTAAACTCAGCAAAGCCGCACAAGCCCTGTTGCGTACACAGTAGGATACTGTCCTCAAACAACCATAGTACAGTAACCCACTGTCGAAGCTTCGAGGGAAGGCTCACAGTTCAAAGACTTCTGGAGAGGCCCTATCAACAATTTTCATGGAATAAGTTTCCTGACAAATTGTAGGATTTCTATAAAGGGGCTGCGGCAGGAATTGCTATAACCAAGTGTTCAGAGCCCTGGAGACCCTCCGAACCGACTCCTACGAGCAAAATACAACTCCCAAACCCTGAAACCCGAAAACCCTAAACCCCAACCGCCTATCATCCCTAAACCCTAAACCCCTAACCCTAAAACCCTAAATCCTAAACCCCCATACCCGTAAACCCCAACCGCCTATCACAGCTATTCCGGCCACGTAGAAGAGAGGGGCATGTCCTGTGCTTCGACGAGATAGAAATGAGGCAAAGACCAGACCTGAAAGGGCTCAACAGATGTCATATAGGGGCCTTAATAAGTAGTTAGAATAGGGTGTTGGGGGCTCCTTGAAAGGGTTCCTTAAAGGGTTCTATCAAGGCTACTATAAGGGTTTAGGGTTGAGGGGCCTTGATGGCTAGAATAGGGCTTGGCGGTATATTATACTATAACTATACTAAGGAACCCCCAAACTAGCATCGGTAGTTATTTAGGCCCCTGTATTAGTGCTCAAGGCTGAAAGGGTAAGGGTCCCCAGGGTCAAAGGGTTTCATGCTTTCAGGCTTAACTGCTTCAGAACTTTAGGGGCTTACCTTCAACAACCCAAACCCACAATACACTGGAGTCTTACTTAAAATGTGGTTCTTGCTTAGAAAACCAGGTTTGGGGGTTTTGGGTGTTTTGGAAGAACTTCAACTGTGGATGTATTCGTAATTTGATGACAGTGACGAGACTGTTCGTGGCTAGGTGGAGGGGGCACAACAGGTTGGATTCTTGTGCTTGCAGTTCTGATTGCTTGGTTAATGTGCTGGAGGTTGCCAGGTTGGGGCGGTTCAGGGGGGTTTACAGTTCGGTTCTGAATAGTCGGACTTCGTAATTCGCTTTACAGAAGGGGGGCTTCTGTAGGGTTTAAGTTGCGAAAGTCAAATTTAGCAACGGGGCTTGGGCTTCAGGTTTTACTGCCCGGGTTTGGATTCAGCACTGCATGTGGGTCAGAATACTTTGGGTCTCAAGGTTGGGCTCGTGGATGAAGGTTTAAGATTTTGGTTGTGCTTGGGCCCTCAACAAGAAGCGACCGCTGAAAGCCTAAACCCTATAAACCCTCAAACTTCAACCCTAAACCCTAAACTCTAAACCTCAAGCCCTGGAAATCCAAGGACGGCACGTAGGGGATGTTATTGGAGGCTGCCGTGAGATCGAACCTGGTTCTCAAGGGTTTCTAAAAGTTTCCTTGGGGGTTTCGGGGATTAGGGGTTTAGGGTCTAGGGGTTTAGGGGTTTAGGGGTTTGGGGTTATACAGGGGTTTGGGGAGCTTTGTTTGGCTTCTGATTTGTCGGTGTTTTTGGTGTTGAGGGCTGTGTCAGACTTATCTTACAGGGTCTAGGGTGTACTGTTCAGAGCTTGGTTGGGCTTTAAGTCCAGGGCCCTAAAAACAAGCTCCGGATTTACAAGATTCCTAAACTTCAAACCCTAAAATTCTAAAACCTTAAACCCCGAAACCCTAAAACCCTCAGCTACGGATTTACGTCATCAAAATTTTCAAGAAATCAGGGGCTGTGGGAGTGGAGGATCTTTGGGCCGCTTCTACCCCAACCCTTAAAGCTTACTATAGGGGCCTTACTAACTAGACTAGGCTGTTATACTATAACCATAGTAAGGAGCCCTAATATTGGTAATCATGTAGGCCCCTATGTTCCGTGGCTCTCCATAGAATCCTGGGGCCCTTAACACGGAAAAATGGAGCCCCGACTTGAAATGCAGGAAGCTGATTAAGAAATCCTGGTCCTCTAACCCCCAAAAAGTTAGGATCCATAACACATCCCTAATGTAGGGGCTTTGATGATAAGAATAGGAAATTGGGAGCACTCAGAATCTCCGCGGTCAGACAGTGGAGACCCCTCACACGCTGGCGGGGACGAGGACTGTTCTTTGAGGGTTTAGGGCTTCGGGTTTAGATTCGGTTTAGACTATGTGCCGTAATATGCGAGTGATCTGTATGTCGGTTCCAAGCTAGTACAGCAGTCTAACGTGATTTGTTTCAAGGATTGCAGCCAAGCTTTGGAAAGCGTCAGCATGCCTCAAGAGCGCGCTGAGCCCCCAAACCCGAACCCCTAAATCCCAAACCCCTAGAGAAAACTTCTTGGGCGACATCTCGGCTTCCTTTTTGGTTTCTTGAATATGGCCCCGTTTTTCTTGCTCCGGTGAGTTTGTGCGAAATGCTACGCATGGAGCAATCAGCAAGTGGATTCCATGCACGCACACACAGCCCACAGGCGCCGTGCGCACGCACACGCACACCCACAGACACAGACTGCACGCACATGCATATGCACAGAAGGGAAAGGGTTAACACTTGTGTTTTTCTTTTTGTATGCTTGTGTGATCTTGTATGGAGTTGGGCTTTAGAAACGAAGACCCGGGCCTCGTCATCCTGCGTCGCCTCATCGGCGAAGATCGCACGACACTCATTACGCAAGACACGGCCAAGGCACAGACAGAAGCCTCAAATTCGATCTGCCGTCATGGTGGATAGCAGGCGTCCACACGCGAGCACATCCAAGCCGGCGGCCGGTGCATACGAATTCTTGGACGATATCTCGTTTCTAGAACATGGCCCCATTCTTCTTGCTTCGATGAGTATGCGCGAGATGCTACGCATGGAACAACCAGCAAGTGGATTCCAAGGCATGGGCACGGGCCTGCGCGCTCCAAATGTAGATCTCGATTGTCAGCCACATCAAGTAGGACGGATGAAGGACGATGCGCATAGGCGGACTACACTAGACGGGCAATGCTAATTCATCGGGCCCAGACAAGGTGTTCTCTCGGGGATG